TTATGTTTACTTTTTAGAACCACTATCATTTCCTATCAAATTCTATTTAATTTTAGAACCAAACATAGGAAGCAAAATTTTCCTTTTTTTTTTTTGCTCTTCTTTTCCTCCCAACCAAAAAGGGCCTAAGTATTATACTTTATTTAGGCACGTTTGCCAATACATACTGTCTATTGCAAATTTACTTGATGACATATTAGCAAAAGTTATAAAATATTGCTATATAGAAAATAGACGTTGAAATGAATCTAACAAGAACCCACATAACTATACTTTATCTCAACACGAAATTACAAAACGAAGTCAAAACAAATTATGTGAATAGCGCACAAAAACAAATAGTGTAATCTAATTTCAAACGGAAAAAGTATACTTCTTCCGCCCACTATTATGTACAACATATACTATAAACAAATGTTTTCTATGATGTGTAACAAAATGTTTTTTTCTATATTTAGTAACTTTTTTCCAACATATTGGTCGTATTTGGGGAAAAGCTGAAAGCTCAATCTGATTGTGTTTGCTGATTTTAACTAGCTTATTGTATTAATTGATTTGACTAACTTATTTTATTAGCTTATTGTAGAAAAATGTTTGGTAAATAGCTGATTGTTTAAAGCTGATTGATTATGTGAAATGACCAATAAGCTAATTGTGGGGGTAAGTAGTTCATATAGGATTTTTAATTAAATGGGGGAAGTATCATTTCACCATAAGAATTGAATAAGCTAATTGAAAAAGCTCCTAAAAGAGCTTTTTGAAAAAAAACTTATTTAGTGGAATAAGCTCTATAAATAAGCTTCTCACCAAACACCTTGAATTAGCTTATTTAATAGTCAATAAGCTAATGTTGGTCAAATAAGCTAATTTTGCTCAAATAAACTAGTTACTAAACACATCCATTGACTACAATGCCTTTAGTTGAAAATTTATAACCTTAATTACAAACTTAAAACAAAACTAATTATAAACTAATCTAATGTAATTAATCTCATTATTTTTCAAAAATCATCAAAATTTTCAACTCATCATCTACATCTCTCCCAATTACTTTCTCTCTCCTCCTTCAACCCATTCCCGTGAATTGAAGAAGACCACCCTTTAGTGTTTCGATTCCAGATATGAGTTCATGGGTTTCGTGCGTTCTTGGGGTCGTGGGTTTCATGCGTGGTCTGGGTTCGTGGGTTTCGTGGTCAGTGGATTTTGATGGTCAGTGGTCTAGGTTTGTAGGCTGGTGGGTTTTGGTGGTCTGGAATCGTGTGAGTGGTGGATTTTGGTTGTTTGGGTTCGCGGGATGGTGGGTTTCGGTGGTGGTTTCGTGGGGGTTGCGAAGGTGGGGTGGCGTGGTGGTTCTACGTCCGTGAGTAGTGGTGGTTCTCCTCTATTTAACTGTGGATTTTTTTTTTAATATATTAGAATAATTATCTTTCTCTCTCTTATTTTTCAATAATCTTGTCTAAGAAATTTTGTCTTGAATTTCGCACACCCTTTTTTGTTGCACATAATAGTGGGTAGAGGAAGTATTAAATTAATATATGGACAAATTAATTAAAATACTTAAAAAAAAAAATGGAGGTAGTACTAACTGTGATACACTTGGGCGAAAAAAAGTGTTGAAGGGACAGTGGTCTCTAATTTCTCCATCAGGAAACAGACAATTTTTACCACAGAGAAGTAGTAGTACAAACGAGGCTCATATACGAGTATATAGACACACCACACATGCACAATAAAAAAATTACAGAGAGAGAGAGAGTAGTCTAAATTAATGAAGAAAAAAAAAAAAAGAAAGAAAGAAAGATCAAAGATGGATTGACAGGAAGTTCGAGTGGTAGAAGAGTAGTAGTGCCATTAATATGAAAAGATGTTCTGACAAAGCGTACAGGCTATACCTACAGGAACTCTATCCCACTCATTGTTTCGACCATTATAGCATAAGCATCCTAAGTTCATTTCTTTAATTATTTTTTAATTACTATTCTCATCATTTTTAGTTCCCCAAGATTCTTTAGTTATTTTTCTATTATGCCGACAATTCCCATGCCTATTTAAGATTTTTTTTTTTTTTTTTTTTTATTTTTTTTTATTTTTTAAACTGAGTGCTCCCTTTGTTATAATATTTCCACCTGTTTCATAGTAATTGACTTGTTAAAAATGAAAAATATAAAATACGTTATTTAATACTCCATATAATTATAGGAAATGTTTATCAAAAATAGTTTTTTTTTCTATGCTACATAAGTCTTTTGTGATAAACAGTTTGTTATATGTAGTAAAAAAAAAAAAAAGACCATACAAAATAGTCTCTTGTTGGATTTGACCATTGACCTAATGGAATTATTTCTTCAAACAATAATTAAGACGAAAGTTACTACTACCTCCGTTAACAGTTAGTTGCAACGATTAGACAGTTTTCCTCTCTACTTTATGTCAAATTGTTGCAACTAACTGTTAACGGAGATAGTATATAAACAGCAAATGAAAACGTGTGAATTTCATCTTCAGTATTACTGCACTAAATTATATACTTGTTAATTATTCATCTTTATCAAACTAAAAAATACAGTATAAGAAAGATGGTAATCATGATGTACTTTAATTATTGAGTTTTGACGCCCATACAAAATGCAGAAGCAATCCCCGCTGATTAAATATTAGAGCAGTCTTATAATTTTTTTTTAATACGCATTTAAATAATAATTATTTTAAAGTTGTATCTTAAAATGTCTGTTATGAATACGTAACATTTTTAGAAATAGGAAATTAAACTACATTGAAAATAGAAATCTACATTAAACGAAACAACAATCTTCTTAGAAAGAAGAAATAAAACTCATAGATTTAGGTACATTAATAGTAAAAAAATGAATATATAGTGACAAATATACACAATCAAAACAAGAGTTAAGGAACAACAGAAAACAGATGTAGTATCAAGTAAATTAAATGCATAAACAAAAGAAAACAGTTGAGTGTATTTGAAAGCAAGAGTACTTTTATTGATCAAATAGGTCAACTTTTTTTATCTAAAACAATGTATGTGGAGGACATTATTGGCAAAGATAAAATACAAAGAGGAAAATATGGTTAGTAATTAGTAAATTAATGCGAGTAAATAAATAAATAAATAACAAAACTTTTGGAGGGAGCATGAGATGTGTGAAACAAATTAAATAAAAATGGATATCAATCTAAATAAAATTTTCAATAATCTAAACTATCAAATGTTTATCCAATACTAGAGTGACAATAATTTTCTCAAGTAAAACATCAAAAACCATAAACATCTAATCGAAAAAAAAAAGGAGAGATAGAGAAGAAAAATTGTGCCACAAAATGTACGTGTTCACTTCTCCGACCTTTTTGTAAAATTTTGGCCTCAAATGTCTAAAAGCTATTTCATTAAGTCGAAAATTTTCCAATTACCAAACTATTGTGGACTTTTACAAGAATATTTTAGAATGTAGGAGAGATGATCAATCATAAGAATTTAATGGCCAATAATAGATAGGGAAGGTGCAAAGCATTAGAAAATATCTAATAATACTATATACTCTCCTTCAATAATAATAATAATAATAATAATAATATTAATATGTACTCTTATTGTTTTGTTTATACAAGTTTAGATAATAATAGAGAAGTTCAAAAAAGTTATCGTAATTCAAACAAAATTGAACAAGAACACAACCTATTATTATGAGACACTCATACGAATAGTTCCTTAGATATACTCATATGGACCAATCCTTCACGTATCTATTAAATGTAGAGTGTGTTATTCAAACTTATTTGAATTAATATGAAGTTCGAAACTTATTTTATTTGAACTTATTTAAATTTATAATTACTAAATGTAATTGTGGATCGAAGTGGATCATAACTTGTTTTCTCAAAAACAATTGAAACATATTTTTAATCTACTCTTATATGGCTACCCTATATGTTACAATTTTTTTTTTAAAAATAAAAATAAAAAATAAAATTAACATAGCATATCATAAATATGTGAAGATTATACAAGGCGCTTGATCTCTTTTCGTGGTTTAGGCAACCTATCACTAAAGGCCTACGAGGTCATCTTGTAAAGTGAAAAAAACAAAGAAAACAAAAGGAAATTTTCACAAGTTAAACACACTTTATATGCTAGTATAAATCATTTTTAATAAATTAATATAAAACATGTTTATGCTTTGTTTAATAAAGCCACAAAATACAATAACTTAGGCAAATTTTGATATTATCATACGAGATTACCTATCTTCTCCAAATAGAATCTTATACGTATCAACTAAGCTAAATGACATTCATAATGGCTTGGTTACTTATTTCAGCTCATGGACACTTACCATGGAAACAGTCTTTAAGGATTGGCTTGAATATCTAGAACAGTCCATGCCAAAACAAAAAGAAGAAGAAAACAGAAAGGCAAGGAGAAGAAAAAAGAAGCTAAGAATAATTTAATTATTCACAAACCGTTACAACTTAGAATGGATGCTTCCCCTATTCAACTCGTGAATTGAGCGATTATAGGTTAGGGTTACCCTTATCCAATAATTATATAGGCCGCATTTAAAAAGATTAAAAAAAAGAAATATGAAGTATTAAAGCATTATGCATTTATAACATTAATGAACTCTTAATTTTATCATAAATTTTCAAATTTTTTATAAAATACTCTGTATAATTTTAGAAAAATATATTTAATGCTTATATGTCTTATGTATATATCATCACAACGAGAAAGTTGCAGCCATAGAGTGGGAGGTGAGAAAACCGTAGACTCAAAATCTAGATGGTAGCCAGCTTTAACTGGAAACTAATTTTTGTATTATCTGATGATTTTGTTGTTCACCTATATTTCGTTATACCAAGTAGGATCCAAACCCGACATTCTCGAACTTGAACCAGACTAAACCGACTCGTTTAACAGGTCTAATTATTAAATAATGCATTAATCAATGAGAGTAGCTCAGGCTACATAACTGTTCAAACTGTACCTGTAGAAAAGACACTGACACGACCATTGCCAAGGACATTGAGCTGAGCTTCGATCCTCCTCATAAAATCCATAGCTTCTTGGACTGGCCTTGTTAATTCCTCCCTATACTTTACTAGCATATCATAATATGCTTCCTGCCCAATAATAATTAATAATTGTTAATAATTGAATAATTAATTAATACAGTACAATCTTACAAGTTTATAATAAGTACTGTTGTAACTTAAATTTGAGTTCCGCTGAGTTCCGATATAAATAGGAGCATCAATTCCTGATATTTTATTTAGAAGAGTAAGATAAAAATTTGTACAAGTAATAAATCAAAGATTAGATTAAGGTGATTCACCATAAATTGGTCCAATTCTGGATCCTTAGAAGGGTCCCTACAATTTGAGATAGAAGCCCTTTGCCTTGCTTCAAACTCCTGTTGTGCTGCTGCTAGCCGTGCAGCCACCTCCGGCGGCGCTCCCACCTACCATACATTGAAAAACTATATTAATGCTTGATAAAGAGTTTTTTTTTTTTTCTATATTCAACATGTATTCGGATCAACCAGTAAGAGAGTTGTGCAATCATTAAAAAAGAATAATAATGAAATTGTCCTCGTTTTAGACTTGATTTGGCTCAAATCCGAATTAGTCGGAATAGGTTTTGGATAATGGTCATTGGTTAGTTTACCTAAACTATATATATAAAATAAAAAAATTAATAATAATAATAATAATAATAATAATAATAATAAATAAAAAAAAAAGGGATAAAATTGTGTTCTCTATGGGTTGTCAAATAAACCAATAAGATCTCACATAGAATTCATGCCAAAAATTAATTTAGGAAAGTATAAGAGGGTGAGAGGATACCTTTTGGCAAGCAAGGTAAGCTTCCAAGAGGCTAGAATATTGAGGATGAGAAATGATCTTAGCTTTAATAGCATCAACTTCATGATTACCACAACTACTTGTGGTATTCACATGATTATTTTGCTCACCACCACCAACATCGTCTTGATCTTGGTGGTGGTGCTGCTGCATATGTGGATGAAGTGAAGACGGTGCCGAAGAATCGACACCTCGGCCACAACTCGTAAGTAAAGGGTAATGAAATCTAGAAAAATGTTGTTGTTGTTGCTGAGGGTGATGATGGTGTTGATGATGATGATGATGATGATTAGTACCAGCCTCCGTCTTCACAACAGGAGACTGTTGTTGTTGAAAACAAGATTGAGGATGAAATAATGATGTCGTAGTTGTTCTCCCAACATACGACGACGAGGCTGAAGTCGAAGAAGAGTTATTCGGTCCCAAAATTGATGATGTTACATATGTAAAATTCCGAGCTCCACTATTCTCACTCAATTCATGACTAAAATCTTCCATTTCCAAAAATAAAAAATTAGGCTAATAATCTTTTTTTTTTTTTCCCTAATAAAACCCTAAATATTTCGGATGATCGTTGGAGAAGATCCCGCCATTCGCAACAGCTAACTAGCGATGGATACTCGAAGCTTCTAACAAACAATCGGGATCGTAGAATTAAACAAATTAGATGGAAGAGAAACACGAGGATGGGGTTAAACAAAGATAAGGAGTTGCACTAGAGCAAGAGGAGCAATCTTACCGAAGTGTACGGATGATAGAATAGAAGAAAGAAATAATATAATGAAGGAAGAAGATATGATAAGAAGGTGTGTTGATTAGTTTACACAAAAAAGAATAGTTATGGCTTTGTTTTCTGGAGTTTGGAGAGAAGGGGAGATTGATAATTGATAAAAAATAATAATAATAATAATAAATAAATAAAAGATGATTCTTTTTGTTTTTTTAACCAAAAAAAAAAATTATGGTTGATTATTAGTCAGGTAGATGAGGTCCCATTGGTTATTAAAAGAGGTAATGACACATTAAATATTGATTAATTTTGTAGAATTTGGTTAATGTTTTTGTGGGGTATTCACCATTATGAACTGTTAGACAGTGTTAGTACCAGTTGTATGGTAGAAGGGATTAGCCTCACAAACTGATTTGACCTCTAAAATATTAATTTTTAAAACATTGTTACACAACTTTTTATACTTCGTACAAAATATCAATATTCAAGGTAATGCAGGACAATAAATTTTTAATACATAATAGAGTCTTGGTTTTTTTAATTGCACCATTTTTTAAATTACTAGAGCTACTCCTCTAAAATTCTCAATAAAGATTCTTCTTTACCTAGCCTTGTTCAAAACTTTACTTGATCAAAACTAGAACAGCTCAAAAATTAGTACTCAGTACTACACATAAAAACTTTCTTCTTAAATTATAATGGATTCAAATATGACTCAATAATACAAATCGAACCAAATGGACTCAGTTAAAATGTTTTATATTCTACTTACTAGTATTGGGAAGAAGAAAAAAAGAAAAAAAAAAAAAAACTGAAAAAATATTTAACACTTAACTTTTTACCTTGATCATTTTTCCAAAAGCTAATTTAGAGCATAATATAATTTGGTCACGTTTGATACGTTTTATTATAAAGTTAATTGGTAGTAAATTTATGAAATAAAATAGTACCTTGTCTCCAAAAGTTAGGGCTTAAACTATTTTTCTATACGGAGATTGTGGAGCTAGCATTTAGCAGTGTTTTCTAAATTGTTAATGATCAAAATTCTTTTTTAAGCGTACATTGATCATAACACTTATGGAGCATTTCATAAAGTTGTACGATACTGTCCAATAACAAACCCTATATCATATACTAAATATCTCAAAGATTTTAGTATTTCTCAAATAGATATGTGCACTCTCATTAATTTATTTTTTTTGTTTTATTTATAAAGAAAGGGTAAGGATCGCTTCACTTAAATTTCAATGTATCTACACTATACTTTATGTTATTGTCTGCTTAGTTGACATAAAATAAATTATAATGCGTCAAAAAAAAAAATAGTGAAATTTGGTATACGTTGCAAGTATGTTGAGTTGTTTGGTTAACAAACATGAAGCTAGCTGTTGTACCTCTTATACATTTTAGGAATTTTATATTCAACAAAATTGAGTGAGGATATTACTTGCCTAAATCCTTTTAGTTGATTTTATTTCCCATGGAAATTGATAATTTTTTATGTGCAAACCAAACATTAGGAATTTTTACAATTTTAATATGAAATAAAATGACAGCTTATAAACAAAGAGGTATAATTTTTCATATCAACCAAATGACAACTTCATTATGAATTGAACTTTCGTTCAATCAAATGATTTCCTTTATATGAATAGTGTGTAATAAGAAAGGATTTACCAACCAAGATATGAAGTATATAATTATGTACTCCGTAGTTTGTTTCATCACATACTACCTAGCTATAATATCATATTTACGAGATAAGTGAACTTTTTTACACACAAAAAAAAAAAAAAAAAAAAAAAAAAAAAAAAAAAAAAGTTTAGATATAGAAATGATTAGCATAAACATGCATAACTATTTTCACCATTACCTATTTACCTTTACAACCTAACATCAATTATACTTTTACTTTCTCTCATACCATTTTAATCTATACATATCTAACAATCATGCTAAGTAGGAACGTAATCTCATTTCACATGAAATAAGCTGAGACATTGTCTTCACTAATGACTATTAATTCAAGATTTTCAGAGTTAAACTCATGTAGTAATAATCTTATAAATCTCATAAAGCAGATGTTAATCAGGAAAAGAGAATAGACCCTAAAATCGCCAATTATAAGAGCATTATATGGCAAAATCCGCTAGAAAAGTAGTTGTAGATATTATTGATTATACAAGGTATGTTCGTAAAGGTTGGCTAGATAAATGATACGTAGTATAATCTACAGTACATAGAATATTGAAGAGTTAATCCTTTTCAATTCAATTTATGAATTGGTGAATTCACTATGTACACTACTCAGAGTTGTACTGTAAACTATTTAGTCATCATTCACATGATTTTTGCAATGGACAATAAAATTAATCAAAATTAAACTGTATAACATTACGGCATGAACATCGTCCATTGACCATTATTAGAATATCAGGTATGTAATCGATGCCAAGAATAAATTTTAGTAAAATAAAAGTAAATTGGCATGTTGTCCTTGACATACAGTACTCTCCTATAGAAGTGTTGCTCATTAAACATGATTGGGTTCAAGAAATGTTAGGGTTGGTGAGGGCAAGCAAATTAAAGATGTAGAGATTGATAAAATAAATAGGAGAAAGATAAAGGCAAGATAAGAGTAAAAAGTGAACACACAATATTTTAACGTGGGAAAAATTATCAAAAAAGCCACGAACAACGAGCACCCAGAATATCCACTATATCAGAATAGGAGAGTACAAGAACCCTTAAAAGGGTGAGTAGTACAAGAGAACTCTCACTATAGGAACTCACAAAGAAGTAATACAAAATAAGGATAGTGGATTAGGGAGATTATGTGTATGCAGAAATTCCGATCATGATATCTTAGAAAGAGGACATTTGTAGGTAAATTCTCTTTAAACATAAATAATGTATGAAAGGACACTCATAGAGTGTATAATATGTATCGGAGTATTGGAAGATGATGTAGGTGAATCCATACTCCCAAATGATGCCCAAATCGGATTTGTGGTCTTTTTTTTTTGCCAATTTCGATCTTAAATTTGAATCTTAAAAACCAAAATGATCCACAAAACCTTAACCAATCAATTTTAGCAGCTTAAAAACAAAGCATGCAAAATGAAGCATGTCCTTGCACCCAAATCAATAGGTTTGAACAAAATATTCCCTAAGATTCTCATTTTAGCCAGCAGTATACTATTTTGCACAAATAGTTGAATGGTGGTGATGCTGAAAGCAAAACCCTAGATCGAATTATTTTGCACACACAACCGAATTATTTTGCACACACAACCGACATAGGCAATAATTGGGATAATATAGCGCAAAGTTTCCATCCTTATATTTATTCTTTCACTTTTTTTCATCACTCCCTCTGTGTTTTAATAAGTGTTACACTTACCAAATTCAACCGTGTTTTAATAAGTGTTACACTTCTTTTTTTGGCAAAAAGCTACCTTTAAATATTATTATATCTCTCTCCTCTCATGATCCCTACCCAAACCCACTATTACTTTTTTATTATATACATCTTCTCACATTCATTACTTTTCAATAAACTATTAACCCCAATATCTTTCTTTTACAATTTTTTAATACTCCAACTATCCCACTTACTTCTTATTTTATTTAAGTTAATTGAATTGCCTAAAATTATGTGCCGGTCAAACTATAACACTTATTAAAATACGGAGAGAGTATGTATGATATTAATATATACTTCCTCCATTCCAAATTAAATGACACGTTTCTTTATCACGTTTGTCAATGCAAAAGTTCAATCAAATATCTTTAATTATATTGTTGTAAAAAATAATTAAAATTGAATTTTAATTACGTATACATTAAAATGAATCTAACAAAATCTCACATGACTATGTTTTTTTATACAGTACCTCTAAATTACAAATATTAGTCAAAGCAAAGTTAATAAATAGTGTCAAAAGTCAAAACATGTCATTTAATTTGGAACAGATGAAGTATAAAATATAGAAGTAGGACTATATAGGGTGCGGTTTGAAAATTGTGGTGCAGTTTTTGAAAATGACCACCGCGGTTTGAAAAAATATTTAGACCAAACCGCACTTTAATGCAATTTACGGTTTTTATACTATATTTTTATAAAAAAAATATAAAAGAACTAAAATATATGAGCTTATCTTTGACTAATAGTTAATTAAAGGTTAAAAAAAGGAGCTTAATATTTAAATTATAAATTAATAATTACAATATAAAATAAAAGTTTTGTTTTAAAAAGAATAATTATAATTTTATAAAAGTATGGTTAAACTGCAAACCGCACCGCACTAAATCGCATTTTGTGGTGTGGTTTTTTTTCAAGTGTAGTCTCATACAGTTTAGGATCCAAACCGCACCAAACCGTACCGCAAACACCCCTATATAAAAGGAAAAAAAAATCTAAAATCGGTATATACTGGTCCTGTTTAGGTTTTGGACTAGTTTAATTGGTCTAGACTAGGTCCAGTCTAAGCAAAATCGAGTTAGTCTTCGGATATTGAATTTTAAAATTTTTGCTTTCTGTCCAAGACTGGACTGATGAACAACCCTAGCATAATATTCAGTATAAATTCGTTGTGGGTATTGGATCAATAATTTCATTTAGTTAAGTGATGCCCCGCTTGCTCTGGTAGATTCCAGATTAATGGAGTATAAATTACTCTTTGATGAAATAGAAAAGATCGTGGAACAATTTCATTCACACAATTAACTTATTTATCAACTAGTTTATCCAAAATGCTTTAGCGTT